CTGCCTCGGCCAACCATTGACCAATGGTTATGTCAAAGCAAGAGGACATTAACCGTAACCTCGCTCATTCCAGCATTCCTGGAGTCCACTTATCAACAGACGATTGTAATCGTACGTGCCGAGTTTTAGACTGCCACAATCACAGACAGATTTTCCCACAGGGCCCTGTTATTTCTATATTTGTACCTTTAACCTTGTTCAAACCGACACTGGCAAGTGAGGACAAATATTACCCTCTCGTGAGATGGTCTTTTTAATTGCTCTCTATCTCCTCAGCCTTGCATCTCGAGCACAGTGGTGTGCGGACCGATCATAGAAAACCACAGAGGCCCCGGACTTAAGAGAGTGGGAAAAGGATCCAGGCTCTTCTAATGGAATCATAATAGAGAAAGACATTCACCCCAACAGCTTCACCACCCAAACAAACAGACCTGAGATGTATCTGAGTGGTTAATGGGCCGGGCACTGTGATTACGTGACCATTTTTGATCACGATTGCGATCCCGTTCTGCTTTCCTGCCTCCCTCACTCCACATGCCGCACTGAAATGGAACCTGTGCTCAATTTCTCTGTAAATGTAGTGCATCGGTGACCCCGTGTGCACTTGGCATTAGCATCACACGTGTGGTCAGGCGGGAATCAGAGTCAACGCATCAAAACCTCAGTGCACTTTTAAGTGGTGTGTTAACAGAGATGTGTTGAGATATGAGATATACGCCGGAATCAGTGGTGATGCACCACGGCCAACAACCCCAATCATTAAAGACCGGGTCCACTCGGAAATCCTGCCAGAACCCTCTGTTCCGTTAAATAAAAAGAAATGCCAGGCTCTTTGTTCCTCCACAGGGAGCACGGGGAGGTCTGGTACTGCTACCCGGGCCTACAGCTTCATTCATTCAGTTCTCTCAGCTTTCTAATGGTTATTCCTGCTTTGTGACCTGTACAAATTAAGACTAGGAGCAAAAAAAGACCGAGCATCACATGACACCCTCTGTTATTTGTTTCGACCCTCACAGGTCTCTTCTTTTTGAAATACAATCTCAGAAAACAAGGTCAAACATAGCAGCTGTTCTCTACGAGGTGAAACCACATCAACACTCGAAGAACACCACAGCGTTGTTACGAACAGAAGAGGCTTCCAATCTCTGACATTTCGAGGCTAGTAACTAAATACATTTGTAGGATGATGAAGTTTTGCAGGTTGTTCTGGGCTTGTGATTTAGGGTGCAATTGTGTATGTGTGTGTGGATCTGATCTCATGAGATGCTTCTCGCTGGTTTTACACACAAATGCTAAACCGGCATGCCGAGATAAAAACAAAGATAAGCATAGAAATAGACAGCGATCATTGGTGAGACAGGTTTAAAGGGTCGCCCGTAGTGAAAAAGAGTTCTCCATCATACCGGGCGGCGGGGTGGAGGACGGGGGACACAGACACCTCCTGTAGTCTGTGTGACCGGGGCTTCAAGCCCCTACACCATCAATAACGAAATGGCTTCATCTTCTGGAGAAGTGTATGGCTTTAAATGTGTGGAACTACACACCCACATACACACATTCCTGTAGATACACAGGCACCAGTGACCGCGTTGATGTGTGGGAGGACCGTGTACCCATCAGAAGTTAAAGCCTTCCCAGGAAATCAGAAACGTATGTTTCTTGCCGCCCCGGTGGTCCTCCGTGGAGGAGAATTCCGTCATAGCCACGGCGCACAACATCACATCTCTCCTCGTATCCTCTCTTCGCCTCTCTCCGGCTTGTCCTGCATTTTTTAAGGGTTCACAGAGGTATTTTTACAACGCCGACCCCTGTTGTATTCACGTCGGATCCTACAGCCCTTTTAGGTGATCAACCTGTGCAATCTGAATAAGTCATAGTTATAGTTATGGATTAACATAATAATCTACCTTGGTAGGTGTTAGCAGACTGCTACAGTTTAATATTTCAGTTCATCTGGATTCTTTATTGCTTCTTTTCTTTTTATGATACTTGTTTTGTTTTTACTATGTCTCTTGTTTGCAGTATACACGATGCTCCTTAAAACAAATAAAGGATTATCATGGCCTGATGCTGTTACATTTCTAATGTTGTGAAAATAACCCGTCTGTCCTCAAGTGGGGTGAAGCATTGCTGAAAAGATGCTAACAATAAAAATCTGGTGATGATGTGGTTAAATGTAACAGTTGTGACGCCATTTAATGCACAGTTTTGTTCTTTTGCTGTATTGTCCCCCTCTTGTATTTTCTCCTCTTCCACAATGGTCCATTTGTATCCCGCTTGTGTTTCAGCTCCAGTGATTCATAACTCTCCGAGTCTGATAACTGCGTGAAAGGGGGAAAGTTGGCAGGAGCGTGAGGCCCGGGCTTATTTAAGAGCCTATAAATGATGTGGAGGGTGACCATTGAACTCTCACGACCTTTGACAGCGGGGCGACGTTTCGGGGATTATCTTCTCTGCTTTGCGCTCCCCTTGCGGGTGAAAGACTAACGCACTGTGTGTGTGTGTGTGTGTGTGTGTGTGTGTGTGTGTGTGTGTGTGTGTGTGTGTGTGTGTGTGTGTGTGTGTGTGTGTGTGTGTTGGACACAAGTGATTCACAGCTGAGGACACACTCTCGGAGAGACCATCGAAGCGCAGTCACTCATGCTGAGCCCCGCTAAGGAAAGGTGAAGCCTGTTATTTATCAGCGTCACGAGGTTTCCCCGCAGTAAAAATGTGCAGAGATAGAGACGACGGAAGACGAACGGCACCGCCGGGTTCCACAGATGAGAATGAGAAGAAAACAAAAGTTTCTACTGACGTGCTCAACGATTGGTTAAGTGAATTAAGTGGGTTTTATAAAAGTTCACATTTTCTCAGATTTCACTGTCAATGTGCCACCAGGCCCGGGCAGCCAATGAAAATCAAGCAGGGTCTGGCTTCCTGCCTGGATGCAGGTACACGGGGTCGGGCTAACCAGCTGGTTAGCTCCTCAGCAGATTTTATACTTCCTCGTTCACGACGATATGGACAACACACGCGTTATGTTTACAAACTACAGTGCATTGAATGTATTATAGAACGTTTTCATTGTTCATTCTGTACACATGGCATCCTTAGTCCGTCCATCCCGGGAGTGGGATCCCTCCTCTGACGTTCTCCCCAAGGTTTCTTCCCTTTTTTCCTCTTGGAAGGGTTTTTCATTTTTTGGGGAGTTTTTCCTGTGCCGATGTGATGGTTTTGGGACAGAGGAAGGCAAATTTGTAACTTGCGATTTTGGGGCTTGTTGTGTTCAAAAATGAAGAAACGCCGGACGGACAGAAGTCATCGCAGATCCAAAGGTTAAAATCAAATGTATTTAATAAAAGAGATGGCGTTGTGGTAAAAAGAACATCTCAGCTGAGGAGCCGCTGGTCTCAGCGACCACCAGGCCCCAGGTCAGTCCTTTGACCATCCCTAGTGCCCGTCTGTCGCCTCCACCAGCGAACTCGAGAACAATGGTTCCTACAGGTATTTATAACAATGCTTAAAGGTGTGAAAGTCAGTGTCCACACCTCTGGGAGTGGTCTTCTGGTGAGTTCAATGTAACTCGGATTTCGAATGATCCTTAGTCAATATCAGTTGTTGTTCAAGTATTACATGCAAGCATTCCAGTTGATTACATTACATCAAATACAATCATAACTGCATTGGTATTATTCTATTACAGTTTTACAGAATTACAGTGGTTTTACAATATTGTCATTACTTTATTGATTACACTGTTTCAGAATCATGGCTGTATTCTGGTGTACACTATATGCATTTTTATTAATTTTATGAACCGGATCGTCAATTTGTTTCTAATATCCTACAGGCTATACTAAATAAAATGAAATGAATTGAATTGAATTGCATCGCTTCTTTGAACGTTGAGCTGCGAATGTTGTCGAATTGATTTTCACATCTGTCACAATAAATGGAAAACAGTGGTAGCCCAGAAGAGCAGGGGAACAATTTGCAGACAAGAAGAGGAAAAGGTGTTTTCACAGCTAGATGATTAATGTCTCGATGAAGACAGGACATTTGTTTTGAATTTAAATGCATTATGAATGACACATGTGAGAAAACAAACAGCGAGAGAACGGAGTCCGCTCTCTCCCCATAATAATCTGCTCATTTAAGTATTTGTCCCGGGCCAAAGGAGCAGCTGCACTTCTTCACTTGAAGCTTGCAGAGTCCACTCAGAGTGCCAGGATGGCACTCAGCCTCAGTTTCGGAAGACGTCCACTGCGCTGTTTAATACGACATTCTGGGCCAGATTTACTGTGATGGCTTTTGAGGCAAAGGGGTAAAATATGACAAAGCACGGACCCGTGACCCCGGGATGTTTAGCTAGAGGATTGGCAAATATATTGCTTTTCTCCCTTCTCGTGGACAGGATTTGGATAAAATGGAGCCGTAAATCAGACTTGAATTCAAACCTATACAGCTCTCTGGCTGTATAGGCCTCTGTATTTGAGCAGGAGAGAGGGGGAGGGGGGGGTGCAGGGGTGGGGGAGGGGATTACTGTGAGTGTGATGTCCATTACTGCATTGCAATGCATCGGGATTTGATAGAAGCAGGTGATACAGACATTCTTGTGATACAAGTTTGATTTCCCGTGGTGTCCATCTCCAAGAAGTTATTTTAACATCAGGAAACACGCACACACACACAACCCAGTGTGTGCCGGGGGACAGATTGATGGAATGTGAATGTCAGCAGTCTCTTTATTTACTCTTCGTATAAAACACTGAGCATTAACAGCAGGTTTCCTCCCCAGCACGAGGTAATTGACTGTTTCAAAGCGCCAACACTTCATAACCCAGGATGTGTGTGTGAGACTGAAACTGAATTTGAGAGAGAAAACAAACATGTTTTCTCGCGTGCAGGGAGAATATTAAAATGAACACTCCTTTATATTCCACACACACACCCCTCAACCGCCTCCCCCCACGATCTCTCCTCCCTCCCTCCCTCCCTCCCTCCCAATGAGGATAAGGGTCAGCGGCGTTGGGCAGAGCCACTCCAACCCTGATTCTTCTTTATGAGCGCATTAACATTCAGGCATATTCATTGTCAATAATGCGAAGTAACAGTGACTGAGGAGGAGGCCGCGTGCCACCGTCAACCCCAAAGTGTCGATCGAGGAAGGTGAGCGGAATCTCGTTTTAACGAAGACAGCTTTGTGTCTCTCAGCAGAAGATGCACTCTGCAGCCATCTCTGTGAACACTCTTTTATTTGCTGCATTGAGAAAACATGAAGGTGGAAGTATTTCAATTGACTTTCATACGTTACGAACGTCCCCAACAGGCATAAATACTGTACAAAAAGACAGTCCTCTTTGACCCCTTTCCTACACCTTTACCCTGATATGTCCAATCAGAGAAACCCGATGTATCCCACTTGTATACAAGATATATTCTTGAGAGGGCTACAGTCACACAGGCTCTGTGAATAGTTTTGTGAAAGCGCTAACTCTATATTCCACAGCTTTCAGAAGAATAATGTTTACGTATTGTAAAATACAATGTGCCACACAGACCAAGACAAAAAGCTACACACTGAAATGCATGTTCCATTAAGAGGTGTTGTTGTTGCAGCCCCCCCTCTCAAAGCTGTGCAGATGTAGCAGTGTCAGCTGCCTCGTGCTCACACACCGTCCTAACAGGGAACATAAAGTTAACGAGAGGCTCGTCAGTCGTCTGTTAATTAGTCTCAGGGTTCGCCAGTTGATTTCTGCTAATTAGGGTTGTGGGGTGCTAATTGTTATCTCTCTATTCATGCTAATAGGTGTTAAAAGACAGGTGTCCAAAGTTGTAAAAACAGCAGCAGACACAACATGGTGCCCACCTGCTCCTGCTCTGGTTGGCCATGACGCTAATTGATGTTAATTGGCATGTTAACAGTTACGGGCCTTTTGTACCAGACAGCGGTGCTTCGTCCTTGACATACTGTGTGTGCGTCATTCTAATAAACCAAACGCATGTGATGTTTGGTTGTTTCAATGCGTTTCCCCCGCCTGTTGGCTGCGCTGTTTGTTTTCTCTCTCAAATAGGTGATTTGATAGTTGCCAAATATTTTATTTTGTTAATATGACAAGGCATCTGTTGCAACGCACACACACAACTGCATGTTAACATCTTTAGCAACATAACTCAAATTCCAATGGAAAACTCACTGCCCTGTTCTCTTGCACGATGGCAGTGAATGAAAGGACCCGTTTCCACTTAAATGGATGCCTGCTTTTGTAACATTACTGTGAACAGGCAATGATTTAAGCCCAAAACTGAACAATCCTTTTTCACATCTATGGTTCTTATCTCAATAACAAGCAAGTTCTAGTGGATGTGAAAGCAACTAGACGGAACAGAGTGATACGGAGTGCTAATCCTTTAGTCATCAGTTCTTCTTGTTTTGGGTAGGCGCAGCTTCTCCGTGTTGAGGAACTGCTCGATTTTGGACATCTGGGCTCTGAACGATGACTGTTGGTCCTCCCTCTCCTGGGAGCAGGGGGACTCCCAGTCGGACTCGGACTTGGCCCTTCAGCTGAGTTTGGATCTCTGCTACACCTGGTGATAGTAGACAGACATTGTTAAATCACCTTCATGTCATGTTCAAATAATACGGTAAAACGGTTCTTTGGAGCTTGTAGTCAATATCTCATGTTTTTTATTAATACAGACACTGCGATTTGTTCACCGCGTGTGCTCCATTAATCACTCTCTACAATTAGTGGGCGGTAGCTCACAGCCTTTATTTGGCTAACGAAAATAACCTCTGCTTGGCAAAACCTTTTGTACAATGTACAATAGTGCAAAATGGAGACAAATTATCACAGTCATTCAGCCTGCTACTGCTGATAGCTGCGTATTAGCAGTGGTTAAATAAAAAAGATAGTTTGATCATCATCTGCCATCTCTGTTTCCAAATAAGCACCTGCTCTATTAAAAGGACTCACCCGGATCTGGATCTGGTGAGTCTGCTAACTGGAAAAGACGCGGCGGAACCCGAAGCTCTGCTCTCCTGTGCACAAACGACACCAAAGAGCACAAAGTTTAGACATCTCATTCCTTCTCCGTCCTCGGCGTCCCACCATGAAGCAGACATCCTAGAGCAGAGGGAACGTTGACCAATAGACTCGGGGCAGACAATAACCAGTGGCAACCGATATATAACAGTATCTGGCCCCTGAGAAGGCAGCCAGGCCCGGTCTGAACTCTGGGTGACGTTCCCAGTGTTCAGACAAAATAAAAGCTTTGGCCCTCGCTACAATTTGTTCAACCATTGGACCGGCCTTTTTTTTTTCCCCCTCGAGGCCCGGTGCGCTTCATCTCCCTCAATTGCCGGCACCTGGATCTGATAAAAACGAAGAGTGGCCGTTTGCAGTGATGGTAACAAAGGAGAGAGCGAGAGTGAAGAAAAAGAAAAAAAACGAGCAGGGCAGAGCGATGATGAAGTGAGAGGCAGTGGGGCTGAGGGGATGGATAGTGACGGAGTGAGTGAGAGAGGAGGGGCGGTACACCGAGCGCCATTAGGGAGACCCTCTGTCGCAGCTCGTTCGTCCTCTGTCTGTCTGGCTGTCGGCTCCACGCCTTCGCTCGACACCCGACGGGAACATCAGCCATCGGCCCGTCCAGGAGCCCGCTCGGAGCTCCAGCACTAATTCCCCCCCCGGGGGCGTCCACTCGGGACAGCATTTGGGAAACGGCGGAATAAAGTGGAACATGGGTGATGACTTTGAGCCAACTTCTTTGTTAGAGAAGATATTTTATAGGGAACATCATGCTGGGGGCGTCACATCGTAATGCAGAACACGGCTGCTGTGGTGAATGGGACTTGTCCTACTTGCTGCAGGTTCAGATCGTATTCTGAAATCATTCCTTCATTACGGGGCGTGTGGGCAGGTTTGTAAATCCTCGGTGCGGAGTGACCTCTGACCTGTAATAACGGGATCAGCGTGCAGCTAAAGATCGCTCCACATGTGTTGGCGTGCTAACAATTTGTCCCACGAGAGCCGCTTCCCTACTCCTCCACGGGTTCTGTCACTCACCGGGTCTGCCACCGCTGTCTCTCCCGGGCGCCTCGGTGAGGAAGCGACGGACCCAGAGACGCCGGAGGCCCCCAGCAGATCCGATGCTCTGGTAACCTCAAAGGGGACTGGGAGGAATGAGGTGAGGGAGGGCGAGAGATGACTGATCCTTTATGATGGTTTGAAATACAGTTGTGCATCACCTATGTTGCATAACGACACAAATGCCGGCGTCACCTTTGTCGGGCTTGCTTTTGAGGAACGCAGGTATCGTGCATAGACGGCGCTGTGTTAAGAGACAAAGACAGAAATAACAAGACATCATCTGCGGTGTCCATGGCTCACATATTCATGTTTAATCTAACTGACTCTGCACAAATACATTATATGGTTTTGAAGGTCAACCGAATGCACAAATAAAATATACCTGTAGTTTGTTCTGAACACAAAGTAATAAAGCTGTCAAATGTCCCCACAGACTTTGAAGAGGACAGTACTGCGAAGAAATACTCTCTCGAATGCCACTGAATGCTAATCGTATGCTGTGTGTGTTTGAACAACTACCGAACCTGAACAAACGGATGCAGGAAGGATGCATGTGCCTCATCTGTGGAGAGCTCCGCTCTTCTCTGGGCAGATGACGACCCGAGCAGAGGGGACTGCTTTGTACCACCGTCCGGCATCTCTTTAGCAGGAGAGCGGTCGTAGGGTTCTGCAGCGGTTTGCCTAATGTCTGAAGGATCACCTGGTTGAGGTTGTGTTGTCCCTGACTTGGGGACACTACAACCGTCCGACTGAGCCGCTGATGCACCGTCGATCTGTGAGCTGCAAACGTCAGACTGATTCGGAGGTTCAGGAAGTTTTCTGGACAGATCGGCTTCCGTTTTCTCTCGAACGAGATAAATCGGACTTGTAGTAACCGACTCGGCAAGGGGGGTGACCTCATCACACCGAAGGCTTTGCCCCTCTTGGACGACGCGGTTTGGCTCCCGATCGGAGCAGCACGGGGCCGAGGGCGTCTCGTATCGTTCACCCGGGCGGCTGGAGTCGGACTCCGCGCCGCAGTCGGCCGGGAGGTCGTCAACCTGCTGCGCGGCGCTCTGGCCTGTGGTCCTACCGGCGGGCGTCTGGGCCGCTAGCGGGGTTTCTGCTGCCTGCCACCTTGTCTTTCCTCCCTCCCCCACCAAGCACGTCCCTGTTGTTCCTGTTTCAGGCCGTTCGGGTTCCTGCCCTGACCCGAGGATCTCCTCTACTCCGTCTGCAGTTTGAGCCCCTACGCTGCCTCCTTCCTTCGCATCGTATCGCTTTCCGTTCAATCGCAGCTCCTGGTGTCCTTCTCCCTCGTCTCTGTCGTTTTCTACCTGTCCCGCATCGTCTTTCCAACTCTGCTCCCTCTCCCCCGTCCCTCCAGTCCGTTCATCACTCTGTCCTAAGCTCATCCAGCCTAAGGATCCATCGACAGACACATGGCATTAGAACGGTTGATTCTGTTGAAAAAAAAAAATCATCACAGCATCATGAATAGAACTTGTATCTTGTAGTCTGTCAGTTAACTTGTTTTCTAGGAGTATAGGTCTATGTGCTGTGTGTTTATGTTTAGTTGGCTGACCTCCAGATGCTCCAGTGGCATCTCGCTCAGCCGCGACCCTCATGTCCTCCAGACGGTCTGGACTGTGTGTGAGAGGAGACCAAGTGCTGCAGACTGCTTAACACGGGTTCGTTAAGAGTTCCCTTTCATCTGATGCCCTCTGGAGGAACGCCGCCACTCATCTGAGTGGAGAAATACACACAGTCGCCTGCTTTTTACATTTATTCACAGATTTGCTCCATGTTGTTATGAACTTTGGGCTTATCTATTGCTAAACTTTTAACAGGTCATGCTGGACCGCTTAGTACTTTCCATCTGAACCTAATATTTAAAAAATCTGGAAGTATTGTTTAATAAAACAAAACGGCTTTCAAACTGAAAACAGCACTTAATCAATATGGACTTGTTGGAGTCCCTCATTTCACTGTAGTTGTCGAATATTATTAAGCCTATACTTCTTGTGGGTGTTATATGCAGAGGGGACCTGCATCTGCTTGGGGAATGCAGATTAAAATAAATAAATAAACCCAAGGTCAGTAGGTCACAGTTGAGGTACGATCAGTAATTACTTTCAGATTTTTAAAGATAACAATAAAAGAGCTTCGTGTATTTGTGGTAAAATAACCGATACCTGTGTGTTTTGAATCCACCGTGCGTGCGTGAGTGCGTGTGTGCCTGCAATTCACATATATGCTGAGCATGCACTTTGGCCTGCGAGGACAGATCGGCGTGTTCCCGACGGAGCTCCTCGTGAGCCTCCTTCACCGCGCGAAGCTGCTGCTGCTCGCCCTCGATGCGTTCCAGAAACACCGCCTTCTGTTCAAACATCAATGTTTTTTTGAAAAATGTCAGAGCTGCCCTGGCGTCCCTCTCACTGCGGTCTCCTACCTCTTTGTCCCAGCTGTGCTTGGACGCGCAGTCGCTCTCCATCAGTTAAGCCACCTCATCTTCCGCCGCCTGGCTTCTCTCTCTCATCGCCCTCTGTTCTCGCTTAAGGGACTGCAGTAAAATTAATCACATTTTTATATGTTTATTTAAGGTGAACAGAGGGTCTTAAACAGAGTGGCGAGAAACGGAGAGCGAACACTTCTCGCTAGTACAAATCAGTTGGCTTGTGTCATTTTAATAATGATTTTAATAAATGAAGGAAATGGGCGAATTAAGAGAAAATTTGAAAAGGGTGGCAGGGAGAGAAGAAAGGTGAGTGATAAACTGTGAAGCCATAAATGGAGAATAAACACACTATCATTCAGTTGCGGAAAGGATCACATTCACTAATGTATATTCTGTGATGTACAACACCACATTCATCACGTTTATGAGGAGAAACCACAGCTGTCATTTATTTATCTTATTGTGTAAATTCACTCCGTAAGCATTTAAATAGAACGCGACAAACTACTGATCCGCACGGGGCCAACGGGTGCTGCAGGGGCCGTTGTGTTTGGAAGATAATCAGATAATAAGTCTCCTCAGTATGTGACTAAAGGTGTTTTTTAGGAGACAAATGGTTGTAATATCCAGCTGTTGGTCTGGTCTTGTTTATTAAGGTAAATGCCGGTATTCATATGATGCTTTGGTACAATGATGTTAAGCATAACAGTTTAATTATTATTTTTGCCAAAAAATGGCACTGTTGCAGATACACAGCTGAATGTAATTTATTACTTCAACTCAAACCTGCTACTGTTATGTCACAATAATGTTTTTTTTTTTTCTATTTTGGATTGTTAAAGGGACACTGATATTACACGTCAAAATCAATACTATTAAACAACTGTATAAACTACTGAGTAATGGCTTCTGAGAGAGAATTTGTCCAAAAAAAGATGACGTCTTTGTGATGTCATCAGGGTTATCTCAGCTTGGACAGAAAGTCTGGATGAACACACCACCGTCTCATGCTTTACCAGCACAAAAGGTGACAGAAAACATTGTTTATTCGTACAGCTGAGTGGTTCTTTGAGATTAACTCCTTTTTTACGGTCTGCTTTAATTCTTTTATTCCCTAACATCGGTCTACTAAAATCCTGCTTTGCTTTAAAAAGAACAAAAGAAAATTCCCAGACACTAACAATTGTAAATTTTCACAATTCTTTTTTCGCTACGTTTACATCCTTCCATTGTTCTTCACAAGTCTGATTCTGCTAAAGCAATACACATCAATGAGTTGAAATTGTTGAAATGGGCCAGCACAGGGACCTATTCGACAGCTGTGTCCTTAAACCAGCAGAGTCTCACCTGGTGCTGCTCCCTCAGAGTGTGCAGCTGCTGCTCCACCCTGCGCACCGTCTGCGTCTGACTCAGCAGAAGCTGCTGCGTGTGCTGCAGACAGCTCATCAGTTCCTGAGCAAAAAACAGGTATCCACCAGGTAGTCAGAACAACGGCACACTTCCATTGACACTTTCTTCCAGTGTGTCAGTGTCATTGTGACCCTCAAAGAGAAAATAAGATATGATCAAGTTTAATGGAGTAGTCACAAATTACCTTCTACCGGTCTGCTCGTTTCTTACCAGCTTTTCTGCTCTCACAGCCACATTTTACTCACAGAGTTTTTTGTTCATTTCAGTTTCCTGAACAAGCAACAGAAACGTATGAAAAATAAGCATTATTTTGTTTATTTTAAATGAGTATCCCGTTTACGGCTCGTTCTTTACCAGGTTCAGTTGGTGGTGCAGCTGCTCGCTGTGCTGCTCTCTGCCTGCGGCACCGCGGGCCTCGTCCCGTCTGACTGACGTCATCCTGGCCTTGATCAGCTCGTGACTGACCTCCTACTAACAACAATAATCTGGTTAAATACTGACAATTTAATTTCTGTTTTGTAATTCTTAGGATACCACAGACATTTATTGGCTGTGATGGAGCCTGAGAAAGTCACGGAGGGCGTAAACAGCATTTCGGCTGACCCACAATCTGTTACATGAAACAGACGCCTCGACAGTTTACCTCAGATAATTCCTGATGTTGTTGCACTTTTTTACAAACCTTCGTCAGTGACACAATGGTGGCTTCTTGTTCTTCGTTTGCGGCAGTCAGCTTCTTTATTATTTTCAAGGCCTCCTCCACTGTAAGAATTACACACGGTGAGACACCATGGGACATACTGACTTACATTACTGAAAGTGAGGGGAAGACAGGATAAGCAACTATAACTTTGCTAATTTCTATACAGAATGAGCCAACTGCATACCTGAATCAACCCTTTACATAGAGGGGACATTGTGAGTTACGAGATTAGAGATAAATGCGTTTTTAAATTAATTGCTCTGACAGTGTAATTGGCGCTGGTCATGTCTTGACAACAATAGCGGAGCCGATGTCACTTTAACACTTTAACACTTTTACACAGCACTATAGGACTCATTTAAAATAGCCAAGGTTGAGATCTCCTTGAGTTGTTTCCAACACCTTGTTACATTCAGGCTGCTCTGGGTCACTATTAACCTGGAAACTTCAGCTTTGCCCAGAGAGGAAGTATCTATACACTGTGTATCATAGACTGTGCATAGGGAGGCGCATACTCATCCATCCAGCCATTAATTACCTTTTGCTCTAGTTTCTCGTGGGCCTGCTTGACCATGGCACACTGCCTGGCGAGAGCGCTGAAGCGTTTCTCCACCTCGCCCATCTGATTCAAGTGGCTTTCCTTTGTCTGGCTCTGCAAGGTCGATTTCTGCCCCTGTAGAGAAGATCAAGTCAAAGACACACAACGACATGAGCTCCTTCTCCCCAGACAAAAGAAAGATAAATGGTGTAACAATAAGAACTATAAGTAGGAACTATTGTTTAGTTCCGTGAGTCACACGGACTGTTATTGTGAAACACTGCCTTGTAACCAGACCGAGCACGATGGACCGTACACGCGACGTGAGAATGTATTAAAGTTTATAACCCAGTGAGGTGAGACCTGGAAGAGTGTCCTCGTGTTTGTGATTAAACACCGCATTATAACATGGTGGCAGCGGGAGAGGACTCGGTCTGAGTACGTACTGGTTTACTCCGGTCTGAAGAGTGTTAACTGCTGCTAGGTTGAGCCGCTAGCGCGCGACTGCCGTGTGATTCCATGGAGGGACTTAAGCCGCCACAGACGTTGTGTTTGGGCTCCAGCAACCTCTCTAAAACATGGAGGAATTGGAGGGATGAGTTTGTCCTGTATCTGGATCTAACAATGGCTGAAGCTGACGATAAACAGAAGGTAAAACTGTTCAGCTATCTTGTCGGCGAGAGTGGCAGAGAACTTTTGGATACCCTGATGGGCGACACAGCTAGGGATGCATGGAGGATAGAGGACATCATCACAAAGTTTGATGATCATTGCAACCCCAGTGTGAACGAGATAGTCGAACGCTATTGTTTCTTCACGAGAAATCAGGGCGCCAGTGAAAATATAGACAGTTATGTCACAGAACTGAGACTGCTGGCCAAAACATGCAACTTTGGGACTTTGAGAGACACGCTCATTCGTGATAGGATTGTGTGTGGTGGTAACAATACGATCATGAGAGAAAGGCTGCTGCGGGAGAAAAACTTGACACTGGACACATGTTTACAACTGTGCAGAGCAGCAGAGCTCTCCAAGGAGAACGTTAAAACCATCACCGGGCCGATGGTTGAAGAGGTGCATGCCGTGCAAGGGGCACAGTACCAGTGGAAAGGCAACAACACAGTGGAGTGTAAATACTGCGGAAGAACACATGAAAGGACCAAACAGAAATGTCCGGCGTTCGGAAAGAAGTGTGCAAAGTGTGGCAGAGAGAACCACTTTGCAGCCAAATGTAAAGCGAAACCAGACCAAAGGAGGAAGAAAAATGTGAGTACAATAGCAACAGAATATGTGAGTGATGAATATGTTGATATAACATGTATCACTGTGACAGACACTGAGATAGTGGATGCAGTGGAGACGGACTTGGGCAAAGATGAAGACCCAGAGAGAGAACAGGATGTGAAAGATAACACTGTTAAAGAGGACACTCAGCTTCTCTATGCTGGTATGCTACTAGGCAAAGACATGGTCAAATTCCAAATAGACTGTGGTGCTAGTTGCAACATCATCCCCATTAACCTGCTGAATCCAGACACCGAGCTGGAACACACTAAAAGTGTACTAGTTATGTACAACAAAAGCAAGCTGAAGCCAATGGGGAAATGTAAGATTAAAATAAGGAATCCAAGAAATCACAAACTATATCGCTTGGAGTTCCAAGTGGTGAACACAGACGGTGCAGTGCCTCTGCTGGGTCGGAAAGCCAGTGAGGCGATGAAACTGATTAAAGTGCTCCATGAGAATATCATGACAATAGACAGTATAATCACAACAGGAAAACCGACAACAGGGTGGACGATGGAACAAATCAAAACAAGTTATGCTGACGTGTTCACTGGAGATGGCTGCCTTGGAGGAAAATACAAGATGGAGGTGGACAGCACAGTGAAGCCAGTGCAGCTGCCAAAGAGACGGGTTCCAGTGGCCCTGATGAAACCACTGAAGGAAGAGCTTAGAGACCTGCAACACAGAGGGATAATCACTCCTGTAGAATGCAGCACAGACTGGATCAGTGCTATGGTGGTAGTACAGAAACAGAATGGCAAGCCAAGGGTCTGTATTGATCCCAAACCCTTGAACAAAGCACTAAAACGCAGTCACTTCCCACTTCCAACCATCGAGGACATCTTACCGGATTTGTCAAAAGCTAAAGTGTTCACAGTGTGTGATGTCAAGAGTGGATTCTGGCACGTACAGCTGGAGGAGGAGTCCAGCTATTTGACAACGTTTGCCACTCCATTTGGAAGGTACAGATGGCGGAGGATGCCGATGGGGATAAGTCCGGCCCCTGAAATATTCCAGAGAAAGCTGCCACAAGCGCTGGATAATGTACCTGGTCTGTACATTATAGCGGATGACATCCTGATCACAGGACAGGGGGAGACACAAGAGGAAGCGGAACGGGATCACAATGAAAAACTGAAACAGTTTCTCGACAGATGCAGGGAAAAGAACATAAAATTGAATGCAGAAAAATTCAGACTGCGACAGAAGGAGACCACATACATTGGACACCGCTTGATGACAGATGGACTCAAAGCGGATCCTGAAAAAGTGCGTGCTATTGGGTAGATGCCAGCACCGACAGATGTAAAAGCAATGCAGAGGCTGATAGGTATGGTTAATTACCTCACCAAGTTTTGCCCACACCTCTCAGACCAATGCAAGGTATTGAGAGACCTGACACACAAGGACAGTGAGTGGACATGGACAACAGAACATGAGGAGGCATTCCTCAACCTGAAAGAGACAATTGCGAATGCTCCAGTATTGAGATATTACAACCCTGAGGAGGAGCTGACAGTACAGTGTGACGCTTCAGACACAGGTTTGGGCGCAGCACTGATGCAGATGGGGAAGCCAGTCGCTTTCGCAAGCAGGGCACTTACACAAACTGAGGGGCGCTATGCCCAAATAGAAAAAGAGTTTTTAGCAGTGGTTTTCAGCATGGAGAAATTCCACCAATACACATATGGCCGCAAAGTCACTGTACAGAGTGATCATAAGCCGTTAGAAACCATTGTACGCAAACCCCTGCTGAGTGCACCCAAAAGGCTGCAGAGCATGATGCTGCGCATACAAAAATATGACTTGGATGTCATTTATGTGCCTGGAAGAGACATGTTACTGGCCGACACTCTCAGCAGAGCCTATCTTCCTGAGAGTACACCGGTGGAAGCTGAGCTGGAGACTGTCAACATGGTGCAACACTTACCGATCTCCTCAGACAGACTACATGACATAAATTCTGCCACAGAAAAAGACACCACATTGCAGCTTCTCATTAAAACAATGAGCCAGAGATGGCCCAAGGACAAATCACAGGTACCGAGTGAAATCAGGCCTTACTTCTCATTACAAGGAGAATTAAGCCACCAAGATGGAATAGTCTTCAGGGGTGAGCGTGCCGTAATTCCTGACAAGCTGAGATCAGACATCACTGGTCGATTACACTCATCGCATCTGGGTGTTGAAGGATGCCTACGTAGAGCTAGAGAGTGTGTCTACTGGCTGGGCATGAACGACCAGATTAAGACGTATATAGCCAAGTGTGATATCTGCAGGTCGATGGACAATAAACAACAAAAAGAAACATTGATGTCACATGAGGTTCCAAGCAGGCCATGGGCGAAGGTGGGCACAGATCTGTTTGTGTTTGACAACAAGAACTATCTCATCACTGTGGATTATTGGTCGAACTTTTGAGAAATAGACTACCTGGTAGATACCAAATCCACCACAGTGATAAAGAAACTGAAAGCTTATTTTGCCCGCCAAGGCATTCCGGATTCAGTGATGTCAGACAACGGCCCACAATACGCGTCCCAGGACTTCCAAAAATTCTGCGAACTGTGGGGATTTCAGCATGTGACCTCGTCACCTGGTTACCCGCAGAGCAATGGCAAAGCAGAATCAGCTGTCAAGACGGCAAAGAGACTTCTCATGAAAGCCAAAGCAGCTGGACAGGATCCTTATCTTGCAATTCTGGACCACCGCAACACACCGTCACAGGGCCTGGATAGTAGCCCAGCACAGCGACTACTCAGTCGCCGTACCAAAACACTGCTGCCAACGAAAGCAACCCTGCTCAGGCCAGAAGTCATTCAGGTCAGCCAGAAGCTGAAGAACAGGCAGCAACGTCAGGGTACATATTACAACAAATCAGCGAGAGACTTGGACACACTTGCCACGGGTGACTGTGTGAGGATACAGCCACTCCTACCCAACGCTGTCTGGAGACTAGGCAGGGTGCTGAAGCCAGTTGATGGGAGGTCCTATGAGGTTCAGTTGCAATCTGGAAGTGTCATTAGGAGAAATCGCAGACACCTCAGGCGTGCACCTGGTGTGACCTTTAGTGACCCTCTCGATATGGAGATCAGCATTCCCAGTCAGCCACAGGCTGTAAGACAGGAACCTGCAGAGTCTGTTCCTGTCCCCCACGGTGTTGCAACAGAACATACACCCAGAGACACTGGTGGCGGAGACACCCCTGTCACGACCAGAGCCGGGCGTACAGTGGTGCAGCCACAGCGATATAAGGACTGTGTGGTATCATGCAGATGAATGCTGATGTTTACATGCACCTGACACGTGAAAAGTGTACAAGCGCAAAAGTTATGGTTTATTTGATATTGTTGTGATCATTTGCACATTTCATGTTCGTAGCGAATGGTTGAGTGTTATCTCACTGTGAAATTGGTGATGCTGTGTTTTTAGTTTGTTATAGGCTATGTTCATCAGTTGCTGAGAGAAGGTTTTATAGATGAGCATATTGAATTGTTTATAATTTAGCAATAAGCAGCGTCAGTGTCAGTATTATCATCTTGCTGGTTGGTCACAGTCAAATGTTGAGATAACAGCTCTAACTCTGAAAAGAGAAAGGATGTAACAATAGGAACTATAAGTAGGAACTATTGTTTAGTTCCGTGAGTCACACGGACTGTTATTGTGAAACACTGCCTTGTAACCAGACCGAGCACGATGGACCGTACACGCGACGTGAGAATGTATTAAAGTTTACAACCCAGTGAGGTGAGACCTGGAAGAGTGTCCTCGTGTTTATGATTAAGCACCGCATTATAACAAATGGGAGCGGTGAATGGAGGTTTACAAAGAGAAATGAGGAAAAAAGGTCTAAAATGTTTCTTTTCCTACATCGATGGTTTAACATATCGTTTGATGACGAGACTAATGCTGCTTCTAATCTGCTGCCAGTAGCTGTTAGCTTGGGCTTGCATGACCACCACAAGCAAAGGGAAACACAGAGGCTGCCTGGATCACAAGTGAACACAAGTGGTGTCAAGGCTCCAGGAAGTCACCGCCAAAACGCTGTGTCGTATAATTGCAAAATTGCAAAACTTTGTAATCAATAAGAATGAAACAAACCTTATTTAGTGTGTAAATGAGTGAGAGTACCAATTTGATTTGTTTTAACGATAAAAACAGTCAGGCTAGCCGTTTCCCCCTACTCTCAGTCTCTCACACAAGCTAAGCTAACTGGCTGCTAGCGCTAGCTCCGCACACAGACATCGAAGTAGTACTGATCTTCTTTTTCACATCACATCAACACAAGATTTAAAAGGCGGGTGCAGAACAAGAGGAAGCAAAGTAATGTCCGGGAACTGAGGGGCTCGCGGTTCGACAAGGATCAGCTTTGTCTTTTTCTGCGGGATGAAGGAAATAAAGTGAAGACATGTCTCACAGCGCTTTATTGCTCCTCAAACTGCCATTTTGGTTTGATCGTCTGTATCAAGCTGAGCGGATGCTTTGTTTGCCCCGCTCCCCTCTCCTGACTTGGTCGTCTCCCTCCTGTGCGGCAGAGCCACTGTTATGTGAAGAGGGTTCAGCCGAGCGAGGCCCGGTTATAAAACATTTTAATAGATATTTTCTCTGCTGTGGCTGGCAGTTCAAAGTGTCGCGCACTCCCCATCCGTTACTCCTGATGAGCTCTTCCCTCCTTAGCACCGTCCCGTCGCCCTCCTTTTTTCTCACTCCCCCGATCCTCTGTCAACAGTCTGCAGGAGAGGAAAATCCCTTCTCACCAGCTCATTGGATGTCTTCTCCAAGAAAAATTCATAGATCAAAAAGGCTTTTCAACTTTCTTTTGGGATAAAACCATTTTCAAGAATGAACATTATTTTCAAGCGAGCGCTGCTGCCTGCAGTGACACCGTTATCGAAAGGGTCTAAGGCAGGGGTCTCAAACTCGCGGTCCCGCGGGCCAATTGCGGCCCTCGGGACGATATTTTGTGGCCCCATCCATAATATGAAAGTGTAATGTTAGTGCGGCCCGCAAGTTTTATACTGTAACCCCACTGTCAGCTGCTGTGTGGGACACGTTATGATGTTCTGGTTTCCCACTGTGTGCTTGTCCAGTGAACGTGGCATGCATGTGACTGACATGGGGGGCGGGTCGTGTGTGTCGGCCGAGGTGCAGAGAGCAGGAGGGTGAAATTCAGTTTCCTGCCCTCTTTCGCGCAGGTGATCATGTGACTAACCGTTAGCATCGCTCGTTTAATAAAGTTTTCCTTTACGACTCACACTAACAACACATGAAGCATCTGACGTCACCGACGAGCGTCTCCGTCCATTACTACGCAGCTTCGATTCACGTAACTTCACGTTTGGCTATAAAGGAATTCCACGGTCACATGACCTTAGGTCTCCCCCGCTGAGTTAAAGGAGGACTAGTGTTGTAGTCTCATTCGGACCGATCCCCCAGGGTGGGGTTCAATGACTGCTTTTGAAAGTGAGTGTTAAGTTGTGTTATTGTCGACCATGCCGTTCGGACGCTAGTCTGGCCCGCGTTCGGTTGAAGTGGGCTGCATCTGGCCCGCAGCTGATTTGAGTTTGAGACCCCTGGTCTAAGGGCTTGCGAGCTACTTGTCAATCAACCAAGTCATGGCGATCTACAGTGCGGGGGGTGGGGGGGGCGCACGACACCTATGCCTTAAAGTGTTCAGAGGGCAAAAAATATCCACAATATAACCTTTAAAAAAGCTAACCTAGGAAGATCGTATCTTTGTCTAGTATTAAATGAAAATGTACTCCTTCATTATTGATCCACAGCTGCAACTAATGATTTTGCTCAGGATTGATTGACGTGTTTATCTCATTTTTATTATCTGATTAACCATTTAGTTGACATTGATTCGTTACGTGTCCACAGTCTCTAAGCGATTCTTAAAGGGGTCGTATTGAGCAAATCGGTTTACTTGTGGGCCTAATTTGTATGATATTGAACGGAATTATAGTTGTAAAAATATCAGCTCATTTACAGAGATTAAATCGCACTGCCATGATGATTTATTTATAAGTGTAATTAGTCAGGCCATATTGTTCCAGAGCTCAAATTTGCAATTTAGCAGATCATCGAGATGTGGCAATTAAATCTCCTCAATCTCAACCGCCACTGAAGTTAAAGTAAGTTAAATTAAAAAGGAGCCCAGCAGACCGCGTCGCGTGAATTAGCAGAGGACCGGCCCCGCGTGACCAAAAACACCAGCCAGTGTCTCCCGGATAGAATATCAAAAACACCCTCCATTGTCTCTGAGGCGGCGGGTTGTTAATGTGCAGCGGCCCGTGGGGACGGCTGTATATCACTTCTGGGGTGTTGAGTCTGAAGACCAGCCGGGCTCCAACTACCCCCCCCCCCCCCTCCCGAGCCCCTGACTTGGTTGGGCATGAGCTTCCTTTATTTACTTCTCCCTTTGAAAACTTTTTTTCTCTGGTTTTTGAGAAAGAAAAAGGGAGAAAGGAAAGTGATGGGAGCAGTGGGAGGGTTAATGCGTAGGTTGCAGAGCCAGAGAGGGGAGGCAGTGTGTGTGTTACACGTCTCAGTACCTATAGCGACTTCAGCTCCTCTTTCAGGTTGTTTATCTCCTTGTCTTTTAACTCAGCACTGATCTGGTACTTCCCTTGAAATAGTACGATTATCACTGGGAGTGTTAAAATACCAAAGTGCATCACAAAAAGAATATATGAGTCAGTACACTACTCCTAAAAACATGAATTGAATAACATGTTTGAATGATTTGGGGAACAAGCCCGTCATACATTTTCCTCCTCAATGTTTGTTATGTTGGCCTGAAGCTTCAAGAGAGACATTTGTTGAGAGGGATTTTAATGAATGGCTAAACGCCTTTGTTTAGATATGAAAACGGCAAACCTGACGGTAAAAACATACCTGCTTCTTAACACTGACCAGTGACTCTGAGTGCTGGTTTGACAACATTTCCATTTGATGTTGCAGGGACTCCTGCCACACAGGAGAGAGTTGATCAACACAGCACACCGTATCAAAATAAGCTGTGTGTTGTGTGAGAATATCCAGCCGGCCGTACCGTCTCCCACTCCAGCTCCTGTTTTTCCAACACCAGTTTACTGATCTGATCCTCAAAGCGCGCCTCTGCATCCTGAAACAACGTTTACGTCACGGCTGATACTCAAACACCCAATCACGCACACTGCGTAAAGAGTAATTCAACATCAGACATGCAGGGCCCTGCTAAATTAAATAACGCCACAGTGACATTAGATGTGGCGATGGAGGCTGGAACGGGGCGATTTGAGCTGAGAAATCGGTTGGAGTTGAGCCAGAACTTCAAATGGAGAAAATTTCCCCGGTGCATCCCCCGTATCTTTTTGTAGGAGCATGCAGAGAAAGAGGAACATTAGAGGGGAGGTGATATTTGTGGAAAGCCATCCCTATCCTCCCTCTTCCCTGGGAGAAGCCAGGTAAAAGTCAATTGCTCTCTATATAACCACAGAACTTTTTTATGTGCACGTGGGAGCTGGTTAACTCACTACGTTTTCTTATATGTTCCAATTAAACTATCATACCAGCAAGGCGGTGCCCTTAAAAAAAAGGAGAAGAGTGTGAATGCACAGGAGATAAAGGTGAGGAATCATTATTGGTGTGTGTGTGTGTGAGAGAGAGTGGGTTTGTTTAAAGTTTAAAACAACACTAGAAAGTTTTATTAATCACAAATTTGAAATCCACAACTGCAAGAGCTGAGGGTACAAAAAAAATAATATTTGATCTAATTATAATCTACAAAAACTAATTTACTAACATATCTTTTCCATGACATTTCATATCTTTATCACTTTATATGTGTTCTGAATGGAGGCCTTAAGAATTAAAAAGGGTATTTGGCCATGAATATTTGATATTCCAGCTGAGAGAAGTTAGTCACAGCTGGTCCTGAAGTGTTTGCCGTGATTAACTGTGTCTTCACTAAGCTCACACATTCACACTATCTTCTCCTGCATCAAGTGCCTTCCCATTTAAGTCGATCATTGTGCCACAATCTCACAAGAAAGAGAAAAAAATTAGAGAAAACTAAGCCGTTGGAATTTTACCCGCTCAGGAACGTCCGGCAGCGTTGCGACATCCTCTCGCAACTCAACCTCTCACCCCAGCAGGACCAAACTACAAAACGCTACTTGGCGGCGCCCGAGGAGGATCACGCCGAAACACCATCTCATGCTCGTGGACCAGTTAACACGATCATAACAATAAAAACAAACCACCAACATCCAATCCCCACTTGCCTAACCATTGATCACACTCTCTGTCGTCCGGATTAAAAGTACTTTTAAGAGGCTAGGACGCATTTTTGTTACTTTTACGAATTGAATTTTTTGCGGTTGAATTTTTGTGGTTGAATTTTTTGCGGTTGAATTATTTGTGGTTGAATATTTTAACGTTGAAAAACATTCAGATACATGATTTCAATGCATAAATATTCAACTGCAAAAAATTCAATCACCTTTTTCTTTCCAAATCCGATGACACAGATTTACTTCCAACAGTGACACGACCCAGTGAGCACAAGACGTAATTTCAACGTTGAAATATGGTTGAAATCGGGTTGAAATGAGGTCTGAACGTCTAAGACCTCATTTCAACGTCTTTTCAACCGGCTAAAAATGGGATAAAACATCAACGTGCGAGAAAACGTCAATTTGTTGACAAATGTGTCATGATGTAACGTTAGGTTCGGCGCAGGGGTTAGAGAAGGTGTGCTGGGAAGCACAAGGTTGTTGGTTCGATTCCCGGCTGCCCCATGTTCCATGTCGAAGTGTCCCTGAGCAAGACACCTAACCCCTAATTGCTCCCCGGGCAGAAAAGCCGTTGTAAGTCGCTTTGGATAAAAGCGTCTGCTAAATGACCTGTAATGTAATGTAATGTAATGTAATGTAATGTAATGTAACTGGTCGGCGAAATTTGGTCTACACGAAGACGTAATTTCAACGTATTTAATATTTCACTTAAAACGTCATGAATATGAAACTACGGATGCGTTTAAGACATAATAATGCGGGCAGGTTCAAACATTACTTGTAAACACGTAACTCCGCTCACATATGTAACGCGCATGCGCGAGTTCTTAGAGGCCTGCAGAGCACCGATCGGACGCAGCACGAAGCGAAGTTACGGCAGCAGAGCGACATGAACGGGCTGATAGAACCACGACTACCGGCTCCACTGCTCTGTAAGTACGCGAGTGTTTGAATGAAGCACACCTGGAACTATAACCGGGTGTTTTACTTGTGCTGCCCACCCGATACGGGAAAGACGGCCCTTTTTGTTAAGCTAGTTGGCGTTAGCGCAGGTAGTTTGCTAGTTAGCTTGCTAGCTTGGAGCATGCTAGCGTGCAGCATGATGACCTGGACCAAAAGTAAACATCCCAGAATATTTTTCGTGTGTTTGGTGTTACTAATGCGTTAGGTTGTTGCTGTACCCATAAATGGTATTGCATTTCACATTGAAAATACGTTTTTAAAGCAATGGTGGCTAAATACAGATTGCAAGGGTGAAGGGCTGAATTCAACAAGTTGTGCTCTGTACCATATTTCAACGTTGAAATTACGTCTTGTGCTCACTGGGTACTCGCTCAAACAAACAAGCGCTGTTAAACGCACAAGCACGTTGAAAATAAATTATAAACTGTAGGATATTAGAAACAAATTGACGACCCGGTTCATAAAATTAATAAAAATGCATATAGTGTACACCAGAATACAGCCATGATTCTGAAACTGTGTAATCCATAAAGTAATGACAATATTGTAAAACCACTGTAAATCTGCAACTGTAATAGAATAATACCAATGCAGTTATGATTGTATTTGATGTAATGTAATCAACTGGAATGCTTGCATGTAATACTTGAACAACAACTGATATTGACTAAGGATCATTCGAAATCCGAGTTACATTGAACTCACCAGAAGACCACTCCCAGAGGTGTGGACACTGACTTTCACACCTTAAGCATTGTTATAAATACCTGTAGGAACCATTGTTCTGGAGTTCACTGGTGGAGGCTACAGACGGGCACTAGGGATGGTCAAAGGACTGACCTGGGACCTGTTGGTCGCTGAGACCAGCGGCTTCTCAGCTGAGATGTTCTTTTTACCACAACGCCATCTCCTTTATTAAATACATTTGATTTTAACCTTTCGATCAGCGAGGACCTCTGTCCGTCCGCCGTTCTTCTTCATTTTTGAACACAACAAAACAATGCAGAAACGGAGAAATAGAATACACACGACACAAAACTATGTACATTGTCCAACCTTCGAGGTTTAATCCACGTTGTTGTGGACTTCAATGCCTTATCGCGCTGATGTGTCAGAGCCCGACCCGAGCTCGACTATATTTTCTAAATATTTATCCGAACCCGGCCCGACCCGGCGGGTCCCGACGGGTAACGACGGGCTCGGGTTGGGTATCCACCCTCTAGTACGCAGCAGACTAGAGACTTAGAGTCACGCGTTACTTTGGCGATGCTGAATCAGTTGAAGCATTTAAAATGTTGCACACTGACAGCAAATGTTACAAAATGCTTCCGTACCCTCCGGATGTGCAGCTCCTCAAAAGTCTCAAGTAGATGGGTTTTAAATTCCAGCAACTGCAGCAAGATGGTGCCTCCACCCTGTGTTTGATAGCGAGTATTAGACAGAGACAGCTCCTCCTCCATCACAGTGCTTCCTACCTGCGAAAGAAAAGTGTGTTTTTCTAATACAGCTACTCAAATACTCAGTTAGTGGTGACATTGGGAATTCTAAACGGTGCAAAATTGGGTCACATGGTGAGAATGTAGGAAAAAGGTGTTAAAAATGAATTTCCACCTGCATACAATTTGCTAACGTGTTTTCCACAAGGAGTGAACTGTTCTGCCACAGAAACAAAACATATTCCATTATTTTATTTCTGATAATCAAACAAATACCCGGAGGTTATTTATATGAAAGGTTTAGATGTAATCCTAAACTAAATAAACAAATGAGCTGGTGAATGTTCTCTGCTTTGTCCTCTGTTGTCAGAAGCGGTAAGTTACAGCGGTGTGCGCGGGGAGGGTCCCGGAGTCAACGCGGAGATCCATCGAGTTGTTGCAGAGCAGGCCAAGGTCCCAGCGGGCCTCTGCTGCCTGTTAATCAAAGAAGAAAAAGAACGTTTAGTTGAAAGTGGTTAACAGAATTGGCTGTTTAATAAGCACTAACACTCTGCCTTTCCACTTGCATGCTTATAATTACTTCCTCATCTGCAGTTTTTATTGCTAAATGGCTTTATTAAAAAAAAATATGCGAGCACATTAAAGCCTCGTAATGTTCTTCAATCACTACAATCCAACCTAATTGCTTTGAAATGACCATTAGGGTTTTTTTCTGCCTTCGTTTTACACCACGTCCATTGCGGAGGAGATAACACCTTGATAAGCCATCTAGGTTTCAAATGAACCAGTCCATTGACACTAATAGGGGTCAGAGCAATAACAATGAATGGACAAATTGCACTGTCAATGCTTTCTAAATTATCTTGGTTATTCAATTTGACCTGTGGATGGTCAATGGCTCAACATAACCAAGAAACTGAGTAACAAACACGCACACACAGAAATATGACTATTTAAGTGGGAGGTCTCCACTAGCCACTGATCTCTTAATAGAACAGACCTTTTCCCCCATTTAACCTGTGCTGGTTTCAATCATGTTGGAGGATTAAATGATCCCTGCTAGAATTGGCCACTATCATAAAATTAAAGTGTGACCCCAGGCTGAGGCGGGTGCGCAAACGCTCGCTGGTGAGTCAAAGTGATGGTGTGTGTCCGTCTTGCGTGCCCGTTGTGTGTGTGTGTGTGTGTGTGTGAGTTAGGGGAGTAGACCTTCAATGTCTTTATTCTGCTCCTGCCGTGCTTCACTTGAGCAGGTATTAACCACCATCTCTGAGCCATGAAAAGACAAATTAAAAGAGAAGCCCTCCACATGATGTCTGTATTACCTTTCTGTTGAGTTATGTTAGTTACTGTGTTGTAATGCACTGAGGAAAAGAAAGTTGAACCACAGCCCCAAGATTGTAATACAATTATTCAAGTTTAAGCAATATAATAAACGGAATACTGCAAAGACTTAATGGTAAAGGGTAGTACAATAGGAGTTTTCTCCCTGGAGACATTTCATCATGTTACAGTAGGGAAAGCAGGGGTTTGAAAATAAAAGGAAATGGATGAATTTCAGTTGTAGTATTGTGCATGTTATTAGTAACGCCTGTGCTTTTACCACTACGACAAGAAAATATCTATTATTAAGTCTGGCTTGAAAACAGCTTATTAGCCTACACAGCACACTGGTGTTGGTTTTTGACATTTGATGTGTCATTAAAGACCACATAATACAGCCCATTTCCTGACCATAATGCAAGTATTTACTGTTCAAGGCAAATATTAAATATTTAATTAATTGTAAATACTGTATTTTTCTTTAGAAAGTTCTTTGTTTTTAAATGCTGAGAAACAAACTTTACTTAATTAATTAACTTCAATATTATTTAAAATAGTTTGAGTTGAGTTTTTTTACTTTTTTAAAAAACAGTTTCCAAGTGTCGATAAAAAGGCTTTAGCAATGCTAACACCTTAGCTAAACCCCTCTTAAGTTAGAGTTCATTAACGTAACGTTAGTGGCATTTCAAATAACGTTAAATTTGGTATGGTGTTAGGGTATTCTCGTTAAGTCAATTCATCCAACTGATTACTCAACTTTAAATTACAGAAAAGCCATCTTAAATTGGAATAGTCACCAGACCTAAACATTAGCCAACACTCTTGCTAGCCTAAACCAAAAGATAACGTAATTCTAGCGAGCTAACCCTACAATGAAACGTCAACTAGGCTAACGTTAGCATGAGCCAGCAATTAGTTAACAAAAGGTAGAAAGTTTGTTAATTCATTTTGAGATAATATTGTTTTCAAATACACGTTTAACAGACTTGGTCTGGTAACGTCCCGGTTTGTTGATATTGCCACATTACCTTTGTAAGGTTATTTAGCCCAGCAAGCAACGAATCCCCAAATAATGTTAAGAGGGTTCTCAACAGCGGGCATTGTAACAATAGGAACTATAAGTAGGAACTATTGTTTAGTTCCGTGAGTCACACGGACTGTTATTGTGAAACACTGCCTTGTAACCAGACCGAGCACGATGGACCGTACAGGCGACGTGAAGATGTATTAAAGTTTACAACCCAGTGAGGTGAGACCTGGAAGAGTGTCCTCGTGTTTATGATTAAGCACCGCATTATAACATGGTGGCAGCGGGAGAGGACTCGGTCTGAGTACGTACTGGTTTACTCCGGTCTGAAGAGTGTTAACTGCTGCTAGGTTGAGCCGCTAGCGCGCGACTGCCGTGTGATTCCATGGAGGGACTTAAGCCGCCACAGACGTTGTGTTTGGGCTCCAGCAACCTCTCTAAAACATGGAAGAATTGGAGGGATGAGTTTGTCCTGTATCTGGATCTAACAATGGCTGAAGCTGACGATAAACAGAAGGTAAAACTGTTCAGCTATCTTGTCGGCGAGAGTGGCAGAGAACTTTTGGATACTGTTGTGTTCAAAAATGAAGAAACGCCGGACGGACAGAGGTCATCGCTGATCAAAAGGTTCAAATTAAATGTATTTAATAAAAGAGATGGCGTTGCGGTAAAAAGAACATCTCAGCTGAGGAGCCGCTGGTCTCAGCGACCAACAGGCCCCAGGTCAGTCCTTTTGACCATCCCTAGTGCCCGAGAACAATGGTTGCTACAGGTATTTATAACAATGCTTAGAGGTGTGAAAGTTAGTGTCCACACCCCTGGGAGTGGTCTTCTGGTGAGTTCAATGGAACTCGGATTTCGAATGATCCTTAGTCAATATCAGTTGTTGTTCAAGTATTACATGCAAGCATTCCAGTTGATTACATTACATCAAATACAATCATAACTGCATTGGTATTATTCTATTACAGTTGCAGATTTACAGTGGTTTTACAATATTGTCATTACTTTATGGATTACACAGTTTCAGAATCATGGCTGTATTCTGGTGTACACTATATGCATTTTTATTAATTTTATGAACCGGGTCGTATATTTGTTTCTAATATCCTACAATACCCTGATGGGCGACACAGCTAGGGATGCATGGAGGATAGAGGACATCATCACAAAGTTTGATGATCATTGCAACCCCAGTGTGAACGAGATTGTCGAACGCTATTGTTTCTTCACGAGAAATCAGGCCGCCAGTGAAAATATAGACAGTTATGTCACTGAACTGAGACTGCTGGCCAAAACATGCAACTTTGGGACTCGTGAGACTCGTTCATTCGTGATAGGATTGTGTGTGGTGGTAACAACACGATCATGAGAGAAAAGCTGCTGCGGGAGAAAAACTTGACACTGGACACATGTTTACAACTGTGCAGAGCAGCAGAGCTCTCCAAGGAGAACGTTAAAACCATCACCGGGCCGATGGTTGAAGAGGTGCATGCCGTGCAAGGGGCACAGTACCAGTGGAAAGGTAACAACACAGTGGAGTGTAAATTCTGCAGAAGAACACACGAAAGGACCAAACAGAAATGTCCGGCGTTCGGAAAGAAGTGTGCAAAGTGTGGCAGAGAGAACCACTTTGCAGCCAAATGTAAAGCGAAACCAGACCAAAGGAGGAAGAAAAATGTGAGTACAATAGCAACAGAATATGTGAGTGATGAATATGTTGATATAACATGTATTGTTAGGGATTTAAGCCAGAAGTGCACCCCTAGTCAGGGAATTATAGTACGTGTAATAATGTTTAGTGTTAGAATTGTAGTTTGTGTGATGTTAGTTATTAGTTATTACATTAACATGTTAGATGAAGTGAATGCAATTTCAATCAAACACAATTCATAGTCATTTAAATCATATAAACACTGTACACATTAACATTCTGTCACAATGTGATGTTAAAACCTGGGGACGGATGCCAATTGCTGTTCTTTATGGATTTCTCCCAATTTTATCCCCAAAAAGGGTTTTTTGGGAGTTTTTTCTCCTGTCAGGTAATAAAATGAACAACTTCATGTAAGGCAGCCGACTGAGGCAAATGTCTTGAGAATTGAACCACATGAACTGTTTTAGATCTTATGACGAAGTGTGATGAACGGTGATCATTAATGATGGGTTGTTGTAATGAAAGTGTACTAGTTATAAGATAAAGACTTAAACGATGTATGCTTTGTTAAATTCACTCATTGAGGCATAAAGCCACTTTATCTGCATTGAGTGCATTGGAGTGTGAGGGACAGCTAGGACAGAGAGGTTTCAGGTTACAGCTGCAGCTTCACACCTCAACGTGGAAGGGACAATGGAGGAGGTGACCCTTTGGAGAAGAGGCCAATGATATTCAAATGCACCAAGGAAGACACACCTCAAGAGGTTTCAAAGGGCCATGGCGGGGAAAAGACTGTTAGAACTTCTCCTGCAGCCGCGTTGATAAGTCACTTCAGACTTGCTCAGAGGATTCTCTATTTCGCGAAATATTCCACTGTTCGCTTAGTATTTCACTTTGTAATTGTAATCCCTATTACGTTGTTCAGTTATTAAATAACTTTTGATTTTTGAATTTAAACGAATTGACTCATTCGTGTCCTCGTTTCCGGCCGGGACGAGAACAAAGGATGGAGTCCTCCCTCGAGAGCTTCCGAAACCTTAACAGTTGGCGCCCAACGTGGGGCTCTCGTTGGGGGAAGGCGTTGCTGAGAGGTTTGACTGCAAGTACCACGGGTACAAACAAGGTAAAACCACCTTTTTCATGAATTCTGTGATAGGTAGGTTTAGGAAGATTTAGAGTGGTGCTGGCAGTCGGCCATGAGGCAAGGCCTTGGATGCTAAATACTAAAGGCTAGTACATTAATGACTTGGGTGAATATAATAAGCTGATAGTGAATAACAGTGGGGACATACTTTTGCAAAGTGAATGCGAATGGGAGCCGGCTTTTAGAAATTCCAAACACGCGCGTTTGGTGCGTTCAGGTACACACTTAGAGCGTTAGAAAAATCCAGGCGGCGAACTGGTCTGCTGAGACATAAAGACCAGCAGGATAAAATCATACAAGTAGACCCGTATGGGATTGGTTAGGGGGTTCGCATGAGGTGTGACGATGCGCATGTTGTCCACTAGGTTTCCCACAATAATTACGGCGTCTTTAGAGAAGACTCTTCTCTTCATTTCCCCTCTCTGTGCATAAAGTCCTTCACAATTAGGTATTGCAGGATTTAATAGATTGGGGGGGGGGAGCTTGCTCTACGGGATTGGCTTATGCGAAAATCCAGCGGCGACTGGTTGAGTTTATGGTTAAAGGTAATCCAGCGGCGACTGGTTAAAAGGAAATCCAGCGGCGACTGGTTAAAGGTAATCCAGCGGCGACTGGTGGAGGTTATAGTAAAGGAGAAATCCAGCGGCGACTGGTAAGATCTGCTTAACATTTTCCACCCTCTAGAAATCCTATGAATTAGGTATATAGGTTGTCTAGAAGGGGGTGGGTGGCGGATATGCGCTTTAGTGTAAATGATAGTGTATATACATCTGCATGTGGTGTGAGTGTGAGTGAGTGTTAGTACGTGGTGCGTGAGTGTTTGAGTTGCGGGGTGCATGTGCTTGATTGATGTATGGATGT